TGCTGTTCCTGACAGACGTTTGTCTAAATTATTGTTAAAAGCTCCATTGATGAGGATTCCACAACTTCCTTAGACAATCTACTTCAGTTTTTCATTTACTATTACAAGGTTTTTCCTAACACCTAACCCAAATCTCCCATATTGTAACTTAAACTTCTTATCTTAGTCACCCCGACACAGAGAGTCCTCTCTTTTTCCTGCACATTTTTATGTATCTGAAAATTTTAGGTTATTTCCCACCATGTAGGTGACAGGATCATGGTTCTTTCAAATCTTTCTTCTTTATTCAAGGCCCTGAAAACAGAGAAGACAAGGAATAGGGCTAATACAGATTTCCAAATCTGCTATTTTCTAAGGAACATGTCCTACCATGTGACATTTTCAGTAGAGAGGCCAAGGACTCAGTGGAGGAAAGGGAGTGGCAGATCCCCACCTCTGGAGTTAGATTCTGAAAAGCAGTACCAAGGCCAGGAAGCAGAGCTGCAAAGATGCACACATCATCCCTGTTTGTGTTCTGCCCAGCAGGTAGATAATTGGAGGTTCAGCTTCTATGGCTGTCAAAGGTGGTACAACTCATTTACATTGAAAATTAAAAAAAAAAAAGGAACAGAGAAGAATTGTCTTGATTGTAATCTGCAGCAGAGTATCCGTATTATCAAATATCCTTTACCACAATCTTTTGCCCCTTTCTGTCTGAAAGCAGGCGTGCTTAACCCACATCTCATGTAGGACGTGAGCAGACAAGAGCAAGGCTTTGGGAATATGACAGACTGCCACAAAGAAAATCTCATATATCGTCTTCTGGTGAGAGCTTACCTTACAAGATACAACATGTTTGCAGACTTCTAAATTTTACTTATAAATATTTAGGATTAAATCCTGGTTTCACTGGTCTCTCAGTGAGATTTTTACCAATGACTTAGTAACAGTCGTATTTCAAGCTGCAGGGATATGAGTTACAGATGGAATTATGCTTTTAAAATGGTATTTTTGACTGTTTCTTAAGATCTCCATATACATCACACTGTCCTTAGAATACAATCCTGATAGTTTATATGAGAACACCATCCACAACAGTTTAAACCCAACAGTTTTAAACATCCGAATATTATTTTCAGTGAAAGGAACAGATCTGTTTTAAACAGCACGCTTTAGCAACACTCACGATGAGTTCAAGGAAAAGCCAAATCCTCCATCTTGAAATTCTGACATGAAATTGGTTCAAGATTTAGCAACTGCTATATCTTAGTCTTTTGCTTTGTTATTAGTTTTCCAGTATTTTTTTCCTCATCTAGATTACCCTCTATTATTTAGTTATAACTTCCTCCATAATTGCAATCAATGAATAGTAATCACTTAATAAACATATCCTGACAGGTCTATTTTTGCACTGGGAAAAGATTCATTTTCTTTATCATCACTCCAGTAAGCAATTTTTCTTCTCACCTGAAGCAGCAAAGTGAAATGTAGTGCCTGGTGTAGAGTTCTGCTCTGCTACGTACAGCATTTAAGCGAGACCAGACACCACTCCTTTCATTTTTGTATTATTTGGATATAGATTTATGAAAATCTGTGTAACTTGGAATTTGCATTCACTGATTTTTATACGTATTTCTATTGCTGCACATAGGTAAAAGCTGCTTTGCACAAACAGCTTGTTAACACTGAGCTAATAGTGGCGTTCTAGGAGACTTTTCAGAGTGTTTTTCTTAAAATGCAGGAGGTAATGCAGAGAGAAACTGCATTTTTGGTTTTTTTTTTTGAGCTTAGATACTCAACATCAAAATGCCAAAGAGTGTGCATTCTGTCAACTATCTACAAAGGCGTAATTTGATATTAAATAGAATAAAATATCCTGAATGCACTTGGATACCTGCAGGTTGCTATAATGATTTCTTTTCCATTGCCATGTGAATATAGCACATGAAACTGGTAAAGATACACAAGCAAAAGAAAATGTATTTCGGTTTGTGTAGAGGAACCTGTTTTTTTTCCCCACAAATTAGATCAATTTGTTCTAAGTGGGCTTGGCCTAAAGTCACTGGAATCAAAGCAAGTTTTTCTACTGACTTCAAGAGATTTCAGACTAGGTGTAGCAATAAATGGAAATTCAGAGTAAATAAACTCTCCTAAGGGATTCACATTTTTCTGCTTGAAGTCCATATGGAGAAATTCTCAAATGTCTTGTGAGGTAAGCCTGGCCATTCATTGCTCCTGAAGACCTAATATGGGTATTCAAAAATTCAATCTATGAACAGGGAAGGGAGAGATTCAACCTCTGCTCATACGGTATTTTACTCTGGTCTGGCGTGGCTTTGCCTTAGCGCAAACAGACTGTGCAGTTTGCCAGGTACCTTCCAAACAGGACTAAAATGATGACTTTGGATTAAAAAAATAAAATAAAATGAAATAATTTTTAAAAAAAATTAAAAATCAAGGTTTGAATACATTAAATTTGCATTCCTGAATATTATCTTTTTAGGTGGACACTCCTCAGTGAGTAATTCTGACATTAAATGGTCTGTCAACCTTTCAGTTGAAAGCTAAACCATAAAGGGAGTACTCTAAATTAAAATGACTTTCTGCAAAATTTAAGTACACTTAAGTTTTTCACACCAATGTTTAAAACTTCTTGAGCAACTCATCCTTGTTCCAAAGTATCAATTCACTCTAAGGACAAATTTTCCAGTGGTAACTTCTAGCATTTTTTGTACAAATACTGACAAAAATTAGTTTTACCACCCTTATCCTCCAAACTCACTCACACTCTGTTTCAGCCCCACATAACATGAACCAGTAGGATCAAGCTGAGCTGTCCCTCTGAACTGAATTCCATTTCTGGCATCATGCTTTCTGCTTTTGTAAATGGCCTCACAATCAGGCCTCACAATATGAGCATATGAAAATTCTTAATAATACAGGCCTGTCAAAGAATATATATCTGTCTACATGCAACAGGCAACTTATGACTGCATAAATTTAAATGTACAATAACTAGAAGGGCAAACTTAAATTTTTTGCCATGGTCTCATCTTTGCCGCAGGCAGACTCATATTAACTTTCAAGGAAATCCTTCTAATACATACCAAACAAAAAAAGCTTATGCATATTTTAAACACTTCAGCAGTATCACCCTTTCTCTGAAAAGAAGAATTGATTATATATATGAATAATAGGGAGAATATTTATTTCACAGCTCTGAAAATTAGACTAAAAATCTCACTTCAGAGTTCACTAGTTCAGCTTGTAGTTTTCAGAATTCTTTTAAGATCTCAGTAAAAGGCATCTTTTTGTGTGCACAGTAATGAAGACTTTAAATACACTAATTACCTCTAAACATAGGCATATTACTAATAGATTATAAAGAAAAACAAATTTTGCGCAAAGCAGCAACTTTTAAAATAAGCAATTATTACACAATTTAATGCAAAAAAAAATTATATACTAGGCATTTTGTAAAGGTCTGGGAAGTACTTAATATGAGAACAAAATGCCTGGATTAATCTAGCAGAGATATGTTGATATGATGGAAGTCAGAAAGCAATTGTGAAAAAACACTCTGCATCTATACTGGTGACAAAGTGTTTAGTCATAAAAGCTTTGATTTAAATCGTATTAGCGTAGTGTGGTGGAAGCATGCAGCACCACAACATCAAAGGATATACCCCAAAAATATGTATCTTTTTTTTTTTTTCTCTCTCCAATAAGAGTGTACTTCGAGTTTCCAACTCGTGTAACAGAAATCACAGGGGAATGAAAAAGAAAAACAGCTTGAGGGATGCAGGAATCTCACCATACTTTTAAGTAAAGAAATAACAATTCACTTGTAATAGGACTGTCCCATTAGGGTCCCCGACTGCCACGAAAATCTCAATTGACCTAATCCTTTTCTTGGTTAAATTTACCGCTTTAAGATAATTAAAACAGTATCACCTTGGATTTGGACTCACTAGGTTTCTTTTAAGGCATACCTCATAGTCCTCCAAAAATTTTTTGGAGAAAAATATACTCGTCTGAATCTCACATTGTCTCAGCAGTTGGATGCTCTTGTTCCGGATAATTTTGCTCAGACTTCTCAGAAGAGACGTGATCACTCAGAATTTCCCATTTTTTATTACAGCATAGGTAAAATAACAATTTTTCCCTTTGTATTCAGTAACTTTACAAAATAATCCAAATATACTACCTGACTGCTTGTAGAGATAAAATAACGAACTTCATTTAGGAACAATTAATTCCTCTTCAGAATAAATTTTCATGGTAAAGCATGGTAATTGAGAGGATAGAACATCATTGCTTTGTGTAAGTATAACCTTTTTGAACTTCCCAGGCTGACACATCACAGCTGAGATGCAATCGTGTTAGTCACGGCACTCTGCGTGATGCCAATGCTGTACTGAGCAGCACGCTATTAGGAAAGGGTACAGCAGCATGCTGCATTACCGACAGGGCCCTCACATGCTGGGATTGTCTATATGCAAACACCATGCCCACTGCCACAGCACAACACAGGAGAATGCCAGGGAGCTATTTCTGTAACGCCGGGAACACTTATTCCTCCACAACTTGACCCCTGCTCTGTGTGGTGATGGTGCTGATGTGTTTCAGATGTGATGTATAATAGCAGGAGAGCAGTGATGCATCAGACCAGGAAATTAAAAAAGATGCCATTCACACAAAGGAATGTTTAGTTAAGTTTGAAAATCTTGGCTCAGATGATACCGTGATGGACCATTTGTTACATCTTTACTTACTAATGTTCATTTGCTGTGGAATTTGTTGTTGTTTTTTCTCCTCTACAAATCAGTTTCTTACCGATTTTAAATGATTCCAAGAGCTCATCTGCATTTCACCCAACACATTTGGAGTCAGACATAATATTTGAAAGCACTAGGGTCCTTAAAGGAACAGCCTATTACAATACACAACAGTAACTATGTTTCTACGATTTATGAAAAGAAAGCAATATGTGCCTGTTTCGGTGCCTGTCGTTTGCCTACCAATGGTGCAGTGCTCCCCATTCCAGCCCTCTCTGCATTCACATTTCCCATCTTTACAAGTTCCGTGCTCCGTACAACGGGGATGACACACACGCTGGTCACACGCCACTCCTGTCCACCCTTCTTCACAGCGACATGCTCCGCCAATGCACACCCCGTGAGTGCCACAGTCTACAGAGCACACTTCTAAGAGAAGAAAAGAATAAAGATAATAGCTAGCTTATGTCAGTGGCAGTGGGGCAGAAGCAGCAACCTAGCCACGAAGGGAAAAGTCAGTAGAACAGGTATGCTTTTGCTGAAAACTGTATGCTGTCAAAAGCTGGCCTGTTCATATTCAGATCAAAACCAGCATTTAACTTTTGCTTAAAACCAAACTGAATTATATTAGAAGTAATTTTAAAAAATCTGCTAATGTATGCTGGACAAACTGCTGTAGAGCTGTGTCCTCTATTCAGATACAAACAGGTTTCAGAGGTAGCTTCCTCAACGCCTGTCGGCAGTGCAGAAGGGGAGCACATAGCTCTGTTTTACTTAAACCTGGACCTCTGGTGATTTTGATACAGACACTGATTTGCTCAGAATGAGACTGAAACTCACCTAAAACTCATTCAGCAGAAAATGGTGACAATTCAGCGTCACTTAGACTCTAGGAGTGACAGGTAAAAGACACTTTCAAGGGAGAGGTTTTGGAATCCTACTACTAACATGGTCAGTTACCTGGTGTCTTACTCCAAAAATTCTTCTACTGCTCTCTGCCAGCTGAAGTTGTAGAACAGCAAACAGAGAGGTCTTTTGCCTCATGCATCATCAAAGAAAGTGACAGTGAAACTCTCATTCATGATTTTTTCTGGCTGCTGATGCATGAAGCAGAAAAAAAACACATCTTGATATTCATTTCACTGGTGGGGTATTCTAAGTCATTAATCTTAAGAAATAACTGAATAAAGTGTGAAAACTGTAAATATTTTTTTGAGAGACTTACTTATGGCCTACAGCTCTGTCTCAAGGTTCAGCTTACAACATAAATGCAAAATTCCCAGTGTTTTTTCCCCACAAATAGAACATTTGCTGTCTTGTCAAAACTGTTTTTTTCTTTTTAGCTCCTTCTGTTAGAATAATCAAGTTTTACAACTGTAGCTTTGGAGAGGATGAAATATTTTAGCCTACACTTTTGTGCCTGCTTTTTAGTGTCTCTTGCTCTAAAACTATTTTTTAAAATATTCCATGTACAACTGAAAAGGGAAAAATAGCCTTTATTTGAAAAGAGATTTTTCTGTTTTGTGATGTTTTTCACAAATGAGTAGCATTTTGATGTGCAGTAAAGCAAACCCCAAAAACGTAGTGTTTTCCATTCCTCAAGTGTTATAAACATATTTATAAATTATGGAAGTTTTCATTTACAGTTGGGAAACAGATGTGAAGCACTTAAGTAACTTTTTCAGTCCAAATGAGGGTCAGTGTTAGAATGAAATACAAACTCCTAACCTGCATCCCCTTCGCCCCCCCAGCTGACAGTCCCAAATTAAGAATGTCACAAAAAATAGTATCTAAGATACATACACACTTCTTCCCAACATAACTAAACAGGACCAAACATGTTCCAAAGACAATTTTCTAAATTATTTGCATTTCAAACTTGCCATAGATATTAAACATTTTAACAAAATAGGAACATTATTGCAAAATCAGGAAAAAATATTTTTCTTACCGACGGAGCAGTCGGGACCCATCCAGTTGGGATCACAGCTACAAAGACCTGTGTCAGACAGGTAGGTACCGTGCCCACTACACTGGTCTGGACACTGGGCTCTGGGGAGCTCACAATTTATTCCACCCCAACCCGGGCTGCAGAGACATTCTCCATTCACACAGACTCCGTGGTTGGAGCACGTTGGATCTAAGCAATCAACTACAGAAGAAAACAACGTAGAGAAAGGTCAGTTCACATAATATGATGTTTGGAAAACATGTAGATGCATGCTCTGAAAAGTTTATATCGCTGGGATAAATAAAGCAAACTGATGTAGTTCTTCAAGTCATATTAACATCTGGTCTGAGAATGGGAAAGTGCAAAGTAATTTGTATTTTACATTAGCTCCAAATAAAACAGGGTGTGACTGAACAATGAAAGCTTACGGCAGGGCGGGGTCCTAGATAGGAATGCTGTAGTGAAGAAGCACAAAAGCTTAAAAATACAACTTAAATATATATAGTAAGAGTTCCACATGTAAGCCTTCACCTGGGGACATTTCTTCTGAAATACACTGAAGTTCCAATGACTGATGTACTATATTTAAATAACAACAAAAAAAAAACAATCCCCAAAAAAACCACAAAACACCTGAATAAATTGCACTTTTAAAAAGATATTTTTCTTTGAAGTATGTTCATCAATACTGCTATTATTACTATTGAAATGCTAGAGCATTGTGAGAATAACATTATGATATCCACTTTAAGTACCTAGAAGTCAAAATATCAGTGACTTTCAGCTTCATTTAGACTCCTAAATTATTCAGGCACTTCTGAACATTTGATTCGTGGTCCATTAGTAGCTGAGCTGTGAAATTGAGAGTCCTAGTTACTTCAATCCATATTCTAACCAGCAGATAATTCCTCTTAAAGAAATAAAGAAAAACAGATATAGATATGGATTTCATCTTTTCTCAATCCAGAAACAACAGAATAAGAAAGTGAAAATAATTATGATGGAAAATCATCCAATGAAATTTAAGTTGCTATTTCAATCCTGATAAATAAAGGAATGTTACGAGCTGTCTTTCAAATAAACTCTGTCAGTCACGTTATGGTTTTCCAAATTTTTATCTTATATCATGAATTTGTGTAAGTATACTACACTCTACTGCAAATACCAACATACAGGCTTTACCAACTGCTTTTTGCTGTGGAATTGAGGGCCAAGGTCAAATTCATGTCCTAAATAAAATGAATTCATCTCATGACTGGTATATATTAGCTCACAAAAGAAGGACCAAGAATGATTGGCATTCTCTCTTGCAGCTCTAGGAAGATCTGAGTTCATAATGAAAGTGATTTATCCCTCATCTTTTCCAAATTGATCCTTCTAAATTAAGGCAGAGACATTTTCACTCTACCTTATGTGAACAATACTTGATCTTTCAAATCTCAACTTTTCTATAAACAGAGAGTCTTGTCAAATTATTTTATGTAGTTGCAGAACATTTAAAGTAAGTATACAGATTAGATACAACACAGAGGATTGAGGCAGGCATATTTAGAGATGCAATAACATGAGTTATCAGAATAGTTTTGATTTTAATTCAGATTACCGTAGTACAGGAATAAATTATATTATTTA